AAAAAAACAATCAGTTAAAGAATGTAAGTTGGAAGTTGGAAACTGCTGGCACTTATCGTTGTTAAGTGATCATATCTTTCTTGAACTTGATAATTTTATCTCATTAAAAAATTCAACTGAAGACATTCCTCGAAAAAAACAAACTGAGACTTGGATTTTATTTGAAAAATAGCTTCTTGTCTAATTGATAAATCATTTACAGGTCACAACATTCAAGAGTTTTATAAGGCTTTATTTTAATATCGAAGCATTGCTTAATTTTTTGTGAGACTGCATTTCCCCTCTCATCAAATCAATAATAATAAAATTTTCTATATATATATATATATGTCAAAGTATTTTTTTTTTGGAATTTATTGTAAAAGATTAGTTATATTGTGCTCATATAAATAATTTAACAAATTTTAAACTATGTATTACGACCAAATTTTGACAATGATATTTATATATAAATGCACACACACACAAACGTTTAGTATCAACATCCGCACAAATTAATTTCTCTCAAGAAATAAAAAGATATAGAGAAAGAGAATATGAAGATGAGTAGGAAGTATAAGAGACGCAAAATAGGAAATATGTACGAGTATTTAATGAATTAAGACTATCATAAAATGTAATAATAAGAGTATGACATATGAAGAGGATAATACAAATTGATATTTACTTAATATGAAAGAAGACTAAGAAATATTAGGAAATTCAAAGTATTTTTTATTTGTTTAAATAAAAAATAATCATATTTAATTATTTTTAAACTGATAAATTAATTATAATAAGATAATATAATTAGAATTTAATATTCTATTTGAATAATTAAAATGAAAGATTAGAATTTTATTTGAGAAAAAATTTAAATCATTTTTATAATAATAATATAGACATAGATAAAATCCCCAAAATTTCAAACAGTATTAGTTAAGTGGGGAGATTTCAATAATAAATATGACCGTGACGAGATCGAGGTCGACTTTGGGGATTTTTTTTTTTCTTTCCTTGCAAAGTATGGATCATAAAAATAATACAAAATAACCAGTGGTTGGTTGTCTGCGCTATTTCATTTTCTCCTCTGCTCCCCAGCAAGCGGAAATGCGGAATTGCTCATTGAGACTTGAGAGCTCATAACGATGCTGCGCAATGCCCGGTTCCAGCTTCTCACTTCACTGAGGCCACAGGTTCTTTATTCTTCCACCGCATCCTACATACTCATCGAATCTGTAAGATTTCTCCTTTAGATTTTGCTTATTTATTATGTCTTCTTCTTCTTCTGCAACGCTATCAGTTCGATCTGAGATACGCAGAGCATATTTGTCCGTCGGCCGTAGACCCCAAAAGAAGATGTTTTGTTAGGCTTTTTAGGTGATTTTCATTTCATACATTTGAGATATCAATTGTTTATATTTGTATATCCTCTCCCCTTAATTTCTCGTCAGATTCAGTACTCGTCTGAGCGGAGCTTGGAGGGAAGTGATCGGAATAGATTTCGGAACTACCAACTGCCGTGTGGCTGTCATGGAGAAGGATGTAAGCTATTGCTGGATACCATAATATTACAACAACAACAACAAAAATAAAAAACCTTTGTCCCACTACGTAGGGTCAGCTATATGAATCCTTTTTCTCCATTGTGTGATATTAAAGCTCAAATTTTCAATTAAATCTTATAAGGAAAGATCATTTCTAATAATTTCTAACAAAATCTTTTTAGGTCAACCTCTACCTTTCTTAACATAAGTCAAATCTATTTCCTCAACTTTTCTAACCGGGTCATCAGAAGGTCGCCGCTTTATGTGACTAAACCATTTAAGATGACTCTCTCTAATCTTATCTTCCACAGGCGCTACTCCAACCTTTTCACGTATATGTTCATTTTGTATCGTATCTCTAAGGGTAAAACCACTCATTCACTTGAGCATCCTCATCTCTGTAACACTTAACTTAGCATTATGCTTCTCTTTTAATGGAAAATATTCGTCACCATAAAGCATTGTAGGTTTCACCACCATTTTATAGAATTGTCTCTTAAGTATGAGGTGGACTTTTCTATCATACAATAAGCCCAATGCATTCCTCCACTTTAACCATCCAACTTGCTAATAATATCCCCAACTATTTCAGCAAAGGTGGATTTTATTGTGGGGGGCGGGTCTCCCGCATTGTTCTACAGCTAAAAAGAGGCACGGCCTGATTGCTCATTTTCATCTTCCTTCTACCGTTCTCAGCAGCTCAACTTGTCTCTTATCCTCAGCAGCTCCACATGGTGCTCGACATTTTCCTCCTATCCTCGGTGACATAGATTGCTATGGATTTTTTTTTGCTAGGAAAATTCTCTCTAAAATGGCTCACGAACAACCAAATGTTCCTACTTTTTTTTCCCACCAAATTTATAATTGGAAAACAAAATCATAAAATAGAATAGGTATAATAGCCATTTCCTTTGTGATCTACAAGAAATTATTGTTGTCGTTTTGTCAATGTGAGGCAAATGAGGCCGTGAGTTCTTTGATTCTTATCTACCTCTCTCTTCTAATCTTCCTTTTCTCAGTTCCCCCTATTTAGGTCTCTCTCTCTCTCTTTTGGGAGCCGTCTTCACGGTAAGAAAATTTTCTTCCTCCTCTTTAAGTATTTTTTTAATATATTACTATATTATTAAAAATTCATTTATTTTTATTTAATTACCCCAAATACACTTCATTAAAACTTTGTTATATGTTATATATATTTTTATGTTAAAAACTTTTTTTTTTAACTGTTGATGTCAATTTGAAGCTCGAATGAAAAAATGTTGAAGCTATTCTTCAAATTGATAATTTGTGCCCCCTCCAAAAAAAATTCTGGCTCCCCCATATAATTTTGTCATCACTTTAAACAATAGATCCAAGATATCTAAAATGTGTACTCTTATTAATGACTTGATCGCCCAAAGTCACAATCCCCTCACTAGGTCAATTACTATTAAAATTAAACTCCATATATTCTATTTTAGATCTACTCAAGCGAAAACCATTAGACTCTAAGGTTGATCTCCACAATTCAAGTTTGCCTTTAACTCTCTCTCTAGTCTTATCAATAAAAAGAATATCATCAATAAAAATCATAGATTAAGGTACATCCTCTTGCAAATCCATATGATGTTGTAGCATGGATTTTTGACATTGTAGGGCACTCAACAAATTTTTATTTTCCTGAGGCTCCAGCACTGTGATTCCCTAATCTAGTGCCAAGGTATTAAAGACACTATGATGATGGTAATTGGAGCACTGTAGTGATGGTTAAACCCTTATGATTTTTTTCTAATTTTTTTAGTATTTCTTACACAATATCAATTAAAACATCACATTTTCACTAAATTTAAAGTTAACAAATAGTATAAATTTACACTTAATAAATTCCCTTGAGTTTAAGCTCTTTCTTGTCCATAAGCAACGGCTTAATCACCTATTGATTAGCTTAATATGAAAAAATAATAGTTAAAATATAAGATGATACATAACATTTTAGAAGTATTTTGGATGGATCAAAGTAGTAATTCTAATTTCAAAAAAAGAAGAATAAATAGCATATGAAATCATTCTTATTATTGCTCTTTTTAAACTTATCCACTATGAGTATATGGGTAAGATTGACTTCTGATTATAGAATTGAATTATATATTATTCAGAGAGTAGTTTTGCATGTAGTAATGATAATTAAAATATTGATAAAACAAGTAATGCTATTTTGAAAAATAAAAAATAAAAATAACTAGCATATGTAATCATTCTTATTATTTCTCTAATTGAACTTATCCACTATGAGTTTATGTGTATGATTGACTTCTGATTATAGAAATGAATTATATATTATTTAGATATTAGTTGTGCTTGTAGTTAAAGTAAAAGTTCATTAGTGCGCCATCATGTGTATTAGTTCACTTACTAATAAGTGTAAATAATGTTATATTTTATGTATTTATTTATTTTTAGTAAAAATGTGTTATTTTAGTTATGTTTGTGGAAGAAATTCAAGAAATGGGAAAAATTTTATGTATGTTATCGCACCATATCATTGGGCAGAATACCACTGCGATACAATCATTAAAACTACAGGAGCCGACAAATATGGATATAGCTATGACTAGTCTCTATTTGACTGCACTGTAATGTCAAAGGAGTCAGCCCTGAACCAACAATTCCAGCATTGCATCATCAAAGGAGTTAGTCTTACAAAGCCCTATCTCTTTCTGTGTAGCACGTCAAAACCAAATTCCAGTACTGCTATGTATAGAAAGTTCCCCATGGATGTCACAGCGCTCAACTGTTAGCATTGTCATGGTGCTAAAGTTGTAACTATTTAGGCCATAATCTACCAGTGAAACAACACATCATTTTATAAAAAAGTGGGTCCATTTCAATAAGCACCACAATAGAAGAAACCCTTTAGTGTTGTGGCATTAGTTTATTTTATGGACACGTGGTGGAAGTGTCTCGAGTACGATAACACCAGAATCCTTTTTTTTTTGTTTTTCAATAAATAGTCTGTTTGTAATGATAATAGGAGAGTTTAGCCACTTTTTTTTTTTAAATCTTTATGGCACTTCTCTAATTTTAGGAATGTCAACTAAAGGAATTCAAAGAAGTGCTACATACATTCCATTAAAATGTTTAGCTTGTGCTTATGCAAGCAATTTTATTAGAAGAGATCATTGAACCATCTAGTGATATCTTTTCTTTTGCACTTTCTTTATTTTTTGGAATTAAAGAAAATTAATTTGCTTCACTTAATCTTCATGCCTTTTTTAATCATTTAGTTCTGAGTTGATGGTATAAATGATATATTAATTACTATTAAATTCTCTTTATCAATAATTTCATGTTGTTTTAATATACCAATCTTCATTTAATGCATATAGTGGTCATATGCATAGTTAAGTTGAGGTGTAATATGGAGCCTAGAAATAAAAAAGAAAGAACAACCATATATATTCGGATTGGTATGATGCAAGTATAGGCATATTGCTTCTCTCGCATTAAATTTATAGAGAAGAATTATTTTGAGGGGTCATTAACAGTACATGCTTTACTTACTCTTATATGATTTTCATAGGGTGACAGACTCTAGGTGTTTAGAGTGGTATTGAGGTTGGAAGAGTTTAATCTATCTTTTGTATCTTTACGCTTGCCTGAGCGGTTGGTGATGCATATGCTTTGAATATCATCTATATGAAAGAGAATCATTAGGAAACATATTGTATTTGCGTTATATTAATCTAAAATAATTTTTCCAAATAGAGTTTTATTTAATAATTTTTTATTTTAAATTAAGTGATTGAATCTCCACCCAAATTTATTTTAATTAGATAGGATAATTATTATAGTTTAGGTAGGCAGTACTAGCATTTATAAAGTAAACATTCTTCCACGTGTGATAGATACTATACTCTAATACTATATTACTTTATTCGACATATATATTTGCATATATTAAGTTGGGTTTGAATAATTTTTATATCAAAGAAAACCTAATTATTTTTTGGTGACTTAAAAGTCCTAAGTTATTTTCATAATTCTTTTGGTTTCTCCACCACCCCTATCAAGTTTTTGGCACAGTTGCAAGGGGAGAATTTATTTTATTTACAAATTTATTATATTATTGAATAAATTATATAATTAGTAATTACCATATTCTTTATTCTTTTATTTTAATTTTTTGATTGCATATATGTGGTTTCATTCTTATAAGACATAGAGGGGAAGCATGATTAAATTTTGAGTCTTAAATTGTGAGAACCTTTTCTAAAACTAGAACCACCAAAAAGATTTTTAAAATGGCTAACCCTTTTCAAAACTTAAATAAATCTTGACGTCTTAAGGATTTTATAAACACTTTAATAAATGAAATTTACTAAATCATATCCATGAAAATAATTTTGAATTGAAATCTGCAATCATTCAAAAGGTACAAAATTCACAGTTTGGGGGAACTTCGAGAGAAGGCTCTAACCTACATTTAACAAGTTTTTTTGAAACTTTTGAAACATTTAAGTATAATAGTTTTAGTGATAATACCATTAGAATTAGATTATTCCCATTTTATTTAAGAGACAAGGAAAAAATGTGTTTAAATTCTTTACCCCTATGCTCTATTATCATATGGAATAAGTTGGCTAACAAATTTTTAGGAAATTCTTTCTCACCTTCTAAGACTGCCAAGCTTAGAAATGATATTACTTTTTTCACTCATTCAGAAGGAGAATATTTTTGTGAGAGTTGGGAGAGGTTTAAGGAGCTTCTTAGAAAGTGCCATCACCATTCCTTATCTAATTGGTTGATAATTCAAAATTTTTACAATTAAATTGTAGAATCCCTTAGAGCCATAATTGGCTTTTTTGCTAGAGGTTCTTTAATTTCTAAGCCTTTTGAAGACACCTATGAATTAATTGAAGAAATGACAATATATAGTTTTCAGTGTCCTATTGATAGGGCGAATCCTAAAAGAGTGACTAAAGTTTTCAAAAATGAATTTTTATCTATTTTTATTGCATAAGTTGCAGCAATATCAAAGAACTTGAGCTCAATAGGCTTAAATTCTGATTCATCTTTACATTTAGAAGATAAAACCTCTATAGAAAAAATGATATGCAAGGAATTATAAATATAAATTTGATTGGAAGACAAAATAATCCTTATTCAAATATATATAATCCAAGAAGAATCACCCAAATTTTAGGTAGAAAAAAATAATGGAGGAAATTAATGAAATTTAGGTCAAAATAACCAAAACACAAATTAGATTAATAAAAAGCAAGCTAATAATAATCCAAAATTTGCATATCATCCTAAACTTAATCAAAGCAATCAGTTTGGAGCTAGAAAGAAACACTAGAATATGTGGTCATATAACTAGGAACATAATTACAAAATCAAGCTACTTCAATTAAAACTTTGTTAACTTAATTAAGTCATAATGCAAATTTTTGTGAGTACTAGACCAATTGGATATCTTTCAAGTAACAATAAAGTTAATCCTAAATAGAAAGAAAAATATAGCAATGGGGCCCAATTAAAAAATAACAATCCTCCAGCTTAGCCCAATGGAAAATTTGGGCAAAGTCTGGTTGAAAACTATAAACTTAGCTCTATTTAGGAGGAAACCAAATCTTAGGTCTAGTTAGTCATCTAGTCTGGCTAATAATGATAAATTTAGTGCTTTTAGGGAGGCAACCCTATCTTTTAAGATAATTTTTTATATATATTCTTCTTTAAAAATACTTTAAGAAAGAAGAAGGGAGCGCCGTGGCACCATACCTTTGAATCTATAGTGCCCTGGAGAGCCTTAATGATTGAAATTTAAAAAAAATTAAACTTCCCTCACATTGAAATCTATAGAAACAATTAATAAGAAGTTCTCTTTTCTAATCTTACCTACACTTGAGTGGGTATTTTACTTTCTTCTCTTGGAAATAAAAATTTTAAGCAGTGGGTAGAATCAATCATACATCATATTCTTGAAAGAACTAAAATGAAAATCATACAAGAATGAGGATTCTTTTTCACTTCTCCACATGCAAAGTTCTTCCATTTTTACTAATTTGAAAGAATTCAAAGAGGACTTGCTTGAAGATAAGAGGAGATACATGGTGGAAATATGGAAGTTGGATAGTGGTAAGTTTCAACATTAAAACGCCAGTGAAAGTAATGTTTTTAGTACAACTATATCAAATTATTAAAACTACATTTTCCACTTCAATCTTAAAACATTAAAGATTAAATATGTAACCAATAATTTTAAATTAGGTAAAAACAAGAATGATTAATTAAGTCTAACTATTGGAATTTTCAAAACTAGAAGTATTACTTTGATTCATTTTTACTAGTTTTATACAGTGATATAATATCCTATATTTTAGCAATTTTATATTATCACTTTTTATTTTGGATAATCATTTAATAAGAATTATAAACTTTTATTTACATGAGGAAAATTAAGAGTTTAAGCTGAGGAGGATTTGATAAGTGTAAATGATACTATGTTTTATGTACTTATATGTCATACAAATTATGTTGGTTTATCTCTAATTCAGTAAACAAATTCATGAAATGGGAAAAATTTTTAAGTATGGCACCATAATGTTGGACATAATACTACCGCAGAGCCATCATTGACATTGCTAGAGCACCCAAATATGGAGATTGCAGTACAAAATCTCTTTTTGACAGCACCACAGTGTCCGATGAGTCAGTGTCACAAAGCCCATCAAACTATCCCAGTGCAATAATGTTAGAGAAGTTAGAACCGTGAAACCCAATCACTATTTGAATAACACTGTGGAGCCAAATTCAAATGTCATTAAGTTAAGGGTGAAAGTTTGTGTAGGTTGTTAAACCTTATAAAACTATCCCATGGGTAACGAAGAGGGGAGTGAATTGGTTATTTAAAAAATATATTTTATTTTTGAAAAAATGTTTTTGGAAAATATAATCAATGATCTTGAAATATATAGTTGTTTATAAAAAAATTTTCACGGATAATGGTTCAACCACAAATATAAAAACTAGTGAAATAAAATGTAGGAAAAATAAAAAGTAAAAGAAGAACATAAAGTTTTATAGTGGTTCGGTCCAACATGAGCTACATCAAATCCCTTGAGACTGCTTATCAAGGTATTGTACTAAATAAAAGTGACTCTCCTTTTGCCCTCACAGAAAGGCGAAGAAACCCATACAAACTCTCTTCTACCAACCCGATGTGGTAGAGAACTGTCATCCTTTTTCACCCTTCTGGCGATGGCAAAGAATTGTCATCCTTTCTCACCCTCCTGGTGAAGGAAGAGATCCTAGAAGTCAT